TGACCCCCAAAATTATGGGGTGATATCCCATTTTTATGGGTAGTTTGAGGGTCCAGGTAGGATGATTCTCCTGTACATACCAACAAACAATAGTTTCAACCATGGTTTCCCAGGTGGTGCGAGATGGCTTTCGTCTATGCACAGTAGGTCGACGCTTGATTCGGGGTCCGGACATGATGGACTCACAAAATTGTCCCACCACCAGGGGACACGCTTCTTTTCCCGCGCGTCTTGGGGAAACCTATCCTTTTCATTCTAATGGCTCAAGTCCTTTCCCTTTTCTCATTGGGACAGCCAGTCCATCCAAGTAGGGAAAAAACAAAAATCAAAAAACATACTTGTTCTCCGGTGCACTCACCGGAGCTTCATTCCTTACCAGCTGCTTTGCATGTTCGAATGTGTCAAAATGCGTGCTCGATGCCTTAATGCCTGCAGATATCAGTCGCTCATTGGGGTTAAATAGTAGACATGTTGGATGAATCGGACAGAAAGGGAAGTCTACCCCTAGAAGAACCTTGTGAGGTGTCAAATGTCCCACTGACATCTTCGAAAGACGTTCCGCAGATGCTCCGTGTGTTTTCAGCAAATAAAAATACAGTCTTCCCACGATTTGCTACGATATTTCACCCACATTCCAGTGTCTTTCACGGATCTTGCATTCTTATGCTCAGATCTTACTCTACCTTGCACAGTATTCTGTCTGGACATAAAGATGCAATTTGGACCGGAAAACGCTTCAGGTCAAATGGGCCACTCACTTCCGAGGAGAACTCGTCCTTTCTTGAGGCTCGGTACTCCTTTTGTTGGTCGCAAAGGGAAACTAAAAAAGAACACCGAAGCCATTTTAGGGGGGGGTCCGATGCACATGAGGGGCATGAAAATGGGCCTGGTGCTCTTTGGCTTCGTTGGGTGCTTCTCACAAAATTCCCGTGAAGTGGCTGTCTTCTTTTTCATTCCCTCTAAAGGCCGAGCACAAGGGGGTCCGTTTGAGAAACGCGTTGGGTTGCTCCCAACTTTTTGGGTAAAGCCCCAACTCTGGTTGGCACTGTGACCCTTGTTGACGCCCGTCGGAGCAGTTCGCGACTCGGACAAAGCAAAGAGCCCTAGCTTCTAGAAACATGCTTCCAAGCACTTTGCACTGGCCGCCAAGGAAAATATCAACTTCCATTTGCTTAAGTCCCCTACAAAACATAAACATGTGTTCAGTAGAAAATAGATCCCCTTTAAAACCAACAGGGGCAAATGGAAGGGATTCACGTGGAACCAAACAAATCAGGGCATCGTTAGGTGCCTGGACCCCATATGGCCGTGTTTTTTTGGTCATACGCCTTTGACCGAAAAAATGGCCATACAGTTGTTTACGGCTTTTTTTCAACAACATGTCGAACAAATATGGGTTTCATACGGGTGATTTACGCAAATGACCGAAAAATCATGGCCATACGGGCAAATACGGCCAAATACGGGAGTTTGACCGAAAGAAAAAAAAAAAAAAAGAAAACAAAGCCATACGGGGTGCCAGGTGGATTTTGGGTTCCATACTACAGCACCTAACTGCGGCTAACTGCCCCGGATTCCACCTGGTGGATTTGGGGATCCGGGTCAGCGACCATGGGTGTGTCTCGAACAGATAAAACTCAAACACACAAACACACACACACACACACAAAACAAAAAAAGAAGAAGAAACACAGCAACGCACACACACACACACACACACACAAAAAGAGAGAAAAAAACACAGCAACGCACACACACACACACAAAAAAAAAAGAGAGAGAAAAAAACACAGCAACGCACACACACACACACACAAAAAAAAAAAAGAGAGAGAAAAAACACAACAACGCACACACACACACACAACGGGGGGGGGGAACAACCCCAAAGCAGCACCGAGCCCTTGCCTTGTAGTAGTAGAGGCACACACCGACGGCCACCACTGTAAAGGCAACTCGGCGCAAAAAAAGTTCTCGCGGAGGCATCTCCAACCCCTCACCCCCAGTCCTTCTGGCCAAAATCTGTACACCAACTAGGTCCTCCAGATTTGAGAGGTTGGAATAGGGGTACCAACTTGTTTCGGTAGTCTATTTTAGTAGGGGACCCCTGCCCCCAAAAAGGGCCAAAGGGCACCTAGCCGGGGGAGCTAGATGGAGTCAACATTGTGTAGGTGTGCCTTTTTGAGGAGTTGGCCCGGGGCCTTTGAGGCGGCCCTGTAGCCTCACTGTGGCGGTTTGTAGGCCGCTTTAATTTGCTGGCCTCCATGCGATAAAAACATACCTGGACCCGCAAACTACCCATAAAAATTGGATATCACCCCATAATTTTGGGGGTCAAACCCATTTTTAAGGGAATTTTGAGGGTTCAGGTATATGGCTCTGGGTCAAACATAAAAACACAACAAAAAATGGGTTGCCCTGGTAAGTGGACACATAGACTAAAACCTGCGGTCCACTAACTGACGAAGCCCCTCAGCAATAGCAACCTCCGTCGCGGCAGCATCGGACAAAAATAGGAGCGGCTGAAAGGAGAGAACAAAGAGACTGTCATCGAAATATCGGCAAACATCACCCCCTTGTCCAACGTGAACAGCAGGGTAATGTTACATGTTGACCCCATTAAGCAAACCCCACATTCATCAACCGCTGTTGATTAGTGTTGTTGGGTCTAGTGGGGATTCATCACTTTTGGAGGAGAACACCCCCCTATTGATAAACTGGGGCTTATTAATCCAGGACATTGCTACGTAGTTGAAATTCCAGCTGAAATTTCAGCTGGATGCCCAGCACGGGCTGTATGCCCAAAAGCTGCTACCTGGGCTTTTGCTTGTTGATAAAATCCCAGAATCGGTGAGCTGGATTCCGAAGAATTGGCAGACACATCAGCGGAAATGGCCCTGAAAAATTGATTTTGGGCAACCGCGTCAAGAACACCCGGGCAAACACACACACACAAAGTTCTTGAGCTGGGTTCTTCTGAAGGAAACCTCAGCCAATGGCTCGGTGAGATTGGACGTTCAAACCACTTGGTAAGCAGCTAGGTGCTTCGCCAGGTCAGAACTGGGGTACCTCGATTCCCACGGGTTTAAGTTACAACCTGGACCCTCAACCTACCCATAAAAATGGGAGATCACCAACCATAACTTTGGGGGTCAAGCCCATTTTTAAGATGGAATTTCGGGTCCAGGACTACACGTGGGCCACACGGGTGCCAAGTGGCGGATTTTTATCCCTTTCTGCGGGCCCTTAAGGTTAACCCCGAATTAATGTTAACCCCTGGTTGATTAGGGGGGGTCCCATTTTAGTGCTTGGAGTCAGACCACTTTTGGAGGGAACACCCCCTAATAATGCGACGAACTAAACCACAATAAGCAAAAATGTAAAAAGTTTCCCAACTACAACCATGTTATCCAGGGGCCGAGACTTGTCGCCAGTTGTTATAACCTTGGTTCTTACCTCCCATGAGTTGAACATCCAAGGGGGTCAACAGACGAACTACGTTCTCAACCTCATAATTTGGGACGAGGAGAGTTCCCTTGCCATGGCTATAATCTCTCACTTGCCCTTTGACCGTAGACCCCCCTTTTTTGAGGCATCAGTAGGCCAAAAACGCGTTTTCCACTTCATTTCGGGGCCGAAGTCCGCTGACAGCGCCCACGCGTGTGACGGTGTTCTGGCCCTCCCGGGGCTCTGGCACGTTCTAAGCACGCCATCCCGGAGCTCACTGATGTGGTCCTAATGAGCCGAGCAAACTCTCGGTGCATGGGTTGTCTTTTTTTGTTGTCTGTTCTTTGTTGGGGAAAGATTGGCAAATATGGGTGTCACGTATTGGAATGGGCATATTTGGTTCGTTGGCTGACAACACATTCTTGCTAGCTGGGGTCTATGCTGGTATAATTTGTGTAGGGGAAACATTGGCCATTGTTTGTTTTTTGTTGAGAAGTTTCCAAGAAAGCGTTTCGCACATGGGCCCTTGGGGAGTCCCTTGCATGACAGGTCGGTTGGTAGCGGAAAGGATGATTCAAGTAAAACTCCACTACATCCCCTAACAGTCCTTGGCACCTTCGGAGGTGCGAAACAAAAATTATTGGATTCAAAGGAACAACATTCCATCGCCTACGGAGGTACCAAAAATATCCTTTCATAAGGGACCCGCTGGGATCCATGAGAGCAAGGCAAAGCTCGTTTTTTCCAAAGATGCGAAAATGCCATCCGTTTGGATGGAGGGTCCCACTTAAAATGTAAAGCGTGAAGATGATCCCAAATTTCACGGGAAAGACACGAGGACCCAATAGATGTTGCTAAGTGAAGGGGATGTCCAAAGCTGACAGGACAACATGTGCCATTGTCCTCTCTACATTTGCATAGCGAGAGAGAGGACCCAGCCCATGCTATTTGGGGATTAACATTTCCCTTCGTGCTTGTTTTGCCCAGTCCGTGCCTAGTTGCCAACGAAGCAACAGGCGTTCTGACCATGTGCTGTACTCATCAAGGCACCTACACACCACCTCTCGAAAGACCTTCCCTGAGTTTCAGGGTTCGTGGAGAACCCATTTTCCCATCTTCAAAGGGACACCAAGACTCAGTTGGCAAAAGGACCTAGAGATAACAGGTGATCACCTTTTGGAGCAACATGGAGCAACTAAAAAACCAAAAGGTCAGAAGGTCCATTTGCTTTGGGGCAAGTGAAGCGTTTGTTTTTTGGGGGCTCGTTTGACCCCGTACGTTTTATGGATAAACCATGGGGCAGAATGGTGAGAAGAGGAAACCGAGGGTCTCCTAGCAGGGAATGAGGGAAATAACCTGCAGATTCCCTTAAACTAAAGGAAACCACCAATTGGATGATTAGTAAGAATTCATAAGGGTCATTCCCTCATACCTGCAATTTTTAAAGGAAACCACCAGTTGGATGGTTTACAAGGGTCATTCCATTTCTCATTCCCTGCCTCTCTCGCACCGACACATCGCCCTCGCCGCTTTTCAGCGACGCGACGCATCTCTCACATGGCCGCCGCCGGGCGCTTCAAGCCGCGCGCCTCAGGCGGGGTTCTTTGGGAATTCCTCGCGCCCGTTTTCGTTCGGCCAGAGGCGGGAAACCTTGAGCCCAGGTGAGTCACAATCAAAACTCGGCATTGGTTGGGAGTGTCCCTTACTAACCTTCACTTACCCGCAGGGCTGTGGGGAATGACCACTTCTGTGATACAACAGAAAGGGCTTCCCAAAGACTATTTTCTTCATATAAAGGAGGATTCCCTTGTATCACAGAAGTGGGGATAAACCCCTTGATCCCACAACCTTCCCTTACCCGGGTTTTGATTGTGACTCATGTGGGATGGACCGTTTCCTCATTTTCCTCTGGCCAAAAAGGCGGAACCAAAAAAGGGGGGGCCCTGCAAACAAACTTTGGACTAGCTCCGGGAGGCCTTGTTTCGTGGGACGGGTCAATGTGAGCACTGGTGTCGTTCCAAGGCCCTGTTCGGCCCTCCCCACTTTCGGAGAAATAGACGGCGATGGCGATGGCGATGGCTTTGCAGTTGGGGTGGCTTGAAATGGTGGCCAAAACTGGACCCGGGCGCAGTGTTCAATCCCGTGACAATTCTCCTTTCCGCCGTCCGCATTCGATACCCCAGCAAAGTCTCCATGAGGCTCCCGTGACAATTTTGCCCTTTCCGTGGTCCGGCAAAGTCTCCACGAGAGTCCTCTGGGTGTGTCTCAAAATAGGAGATCGATCCACAAAAGACGGTGTCATGCTGCTTTCCCTTTGCAACACAGCCAAAAAAACAGTCTCCACCTCTCAAAATCGGCACCCAACCCCCCATCCACCCCAACTCCGCCCTCTCCGCCTGAAGTCTCCACCTGAACCCCGCCCAACCCCACCTCCGGGGGGCCGCAAAAGGGCGCGCCTCCCAAGACTAGGTCCTCCAGTTTTGCGAGGTTAGAATAAGTTGGTACCCTATTCTTTTGTGTAGTCTATTTGCTTAGGGGGACCCTCCCCAAAAAAAGAAACGGTGAGAAAGGGCACTAGCTGGGGACCCAAAAGGGCACCTAGCTGGGCGCCTCCCAAAAAAGACACCGCCTGCCTTGTGCACACTGGCCAGCTCCGCCCGGGGCATGGCGTAGGCACCCTTCCCTCAGCCCGACTTTTTTCGATGCGCACCGATCGGAGCATCCCGGCCCGCGGCCCTTTAAACCAGGCTGGAAAGGATATCCTCGGGGGCAAAAAAACACACACAAAAAGAAACATGTCAACAACTGGAGGTCTCTTGGCCCACATCTGGGGACGCCAAAAAAAACAAACTGTTCGGATTCCCAGCCAAGTCAGCCCCAGAAAAAAAGAAGCTCCTTGCCACTTCTGCGATCAACATCCACGCGGATCGGCACCGGTCTGTGGCCTTTTTAGGGGACTCCCCGGTCCAACATGGCTTTGGTTTTCCTGTTGGCTTCCCTTTAAACCAATGCACTGAAGGGGAAGGGGATCTCCATAAGGGCTTAGCAAAAGGGAGCTTCCTGGTTTCAGCATTCGATTCCGGAGCATGGCCTCCAGGAACGACGCACTGCTCGTCTGTTCTTTGAGTGGGTACCTCCCTCTATTGAAGCGGGAAGCCAAACCAAAAGGAAGCCCAAAACAGGCGAGCCACCTCTCAAAAACGGAGGTACCTCCTTTTTGGCGCTGGTCGGTGTTTTTAACGGGAGAAACCAACAGAAAATCCAACTCGCCCATGTTCGGGGATTCTGAAAAAGGCACTCCCAGAAAAGAAAAAGAGAAAAAACACGTTGTTCTCAACATTACCGCCTAGGATGAGAGGGGGGGTGTAAACTCAGTTGAAGTAAAAGTTGATCATCGTTTAGGGCAACACAACACATGGGAACTTAAAACAGGAAAACCAAACAAACAATCAGATCCGGTCGATTCGCCAAAGCAAGTGAGTTCAATGGGAACATCCGATCCGAGCCGTCCCAGATCTCCGTCGGATGCCCCAAATATTGCAAGTAAACCAACCACGGGGTTTACTGGCAATCAGGGTTCCACTTTTTGACTACCCCAGGAAGACTTAAATCCAGCAGATCTCCTTTTGGCGGGAATGAACCGCTCCTGGGTTGAAGTCTAATTTGACCCCCAATTTATCAACCTCAGTTTATTAATGGGGTGTTCCCCTCCAAAAGTGAACAATCCCCACTAAAACCAGAAGCACCCCCATATCAATAAACAGGGCCCCATATTAATCACCAGGGGTTTATTAGTAGGAGGATGTTCATTACCCTGGGGCATTCGTCCCGCGCCTTGGAGGATCTCCTTCTTCTTCTGCTTCAGATCCTCCTCCGTGAGCTCGTAGCCCCAGTGGAGCAGCGATTGTCGCACTGCCGGGGCCACCTGACGCCGAAACACGACACCCGGCTCCTTGCTTGGCTTGGAATTTCACGTAGAAAATTTCCGTCTAGCACATTGACATGCTTGGTCTGAAGTTTCCTTTAGTTTCCCCTAAAGCTCACCAAAGAAAGGATATCAACAAGAAGACACCTCCATTTGCCCAGGGGTTTTAAGGTACCCTTTGGCTGGAAACCAAATGGAAACCCGTGAATTTAGGGGGTGCAAATCTCGAGTTTGACATGTATTGGGGATTCGCTCGCTTGTCGGGTGGTTTACCCCAAACTGCCTCATGGGACAATACTGGGTCAACAGGTTTGAGGCACAGTTGTTTTTCGGGTTCTTTGGATTTCCCTTTCAGGTTAGTGCTACTCGGTTTTAAACAGGTTTAAACCAAGCCTGGCAGTGAAAGAGCCCAAATGCCTCTCTTGTCTGATAACAGGGTGAGAGGGTGGAGCAAAATAGCGGTCTGAACAGATTTCTCTTCCGCAATTGCTTCAGGATCAGTTGGGTGTTTCGGTCAAAATGGGCGACCCCTATAGTTTGCTTGCCCCTTTATTGAAAAGGGGGTCTAAGGTTGACCGAGGATTCATGAACCTAATTCATGTGAGGGTGTCTCTGGTTTGGGTTCACCACTTTCGAAGAGGAACACCCCCATATTAAAATAAGCAGGGGGTTATTCATTCTGGGTGAGCAGTACCTTTTTGCGAACCCCTCGGTTGGATTTCCCAACAGTGTCTTGAAACCAACTATGGAGCAAGGCCTTCCGAATCGAATGCCTACGTTAGCACGTGGAAAAGGCCACCTGGGTTATAACCCACTGATGACTGGGTCAACCCCACTACAAGTGGGTTAATGACAAGCTAGGCTACCGACAACGTACTAACTTGGCGAATCGAACACACAAGTATCAGAATCTTGGCTTGCTGGCGAGAACCCCCCCGCAAATAGTGAAGATTCTTTTCTGTGCGGGTCCACGGCAAATCCGACCTTCAACCAAAAAGTGAAAAAGGTCCAAAGATCCGTTACCTGGCCATAAAGTTGGGACCCCCTGGAGCTTCACCCTGTCCGATTGGTCGACCATCCCCTGACACCCAAGCAGACTGGCCTGAGGGTCGTTGTAGCGACTCTTGGCCTTCACGCCTCACGGCTGGTAGTTCTCGGCTCGGAAGCGAAGCTGGAAATTGTCGCTCAACTGCTAAGCACTCAAGCTTCTACCCAAACAACTAAGTTTATCCATCTCTCTGTTTCTGTTTTGTTGTGTGTGTGTGTCTCTTTTTTCTTACAAGGAGCCATTTTCCAATGAGTAAGTGAATCACTGGGAGAGGCACTCTTTTTTCAGGCCCCTAGACCCTAGACCAGCCCACCAAGCAGGAATGTCGAAGCAAGGGTCCGGGGAAAATGGCCAAGCACACGCGTACCAGGGTACCAGGGGGGGGGGGGTGTTCCGCCGTCTGGTCCCTGCTGCAGTCCCTGCTAAACCCGCGGGGTTGCCTTGTGGGTGTCTTAACCTTATGGGAAAGGTCACTTCCAAGCGCCTGGTCTTGCAATTTGTGATGTCGGGACCTCGCTTAAGCGAGATGCTTCTGCCGGCAAATCTACCGCATCTTGTGCCCTGCTGAAACATTTGCAGATTCAGATGTCGGCCATATCTAGTTAACCGAAACACATGTCAGACACAAATGACAAAATATATCCCAAAAAGATCATGCTAGAAAGGTCCATCTTGCAAAGAGTTGACCCAGTTGCCAAGCGCTCTCGTTTTGGGGTTGACCAGTAAACTGACCAAAGGAGACTAAGGGTGGAATCCACTGAACAGGGTGAAACCCACATGACGTTTCTTATCACTGTTTGAGGAGCCCCCCATTCTACTCGCGGCTTGGAAAGGCTTGGTTGACGTTGGAAGGGGAGCAACAATTCTCAAATTTTAGCAGTTAAGTGGGGATTTCAACCACTAAACCACAATAAGCAAAAATGTAAAATGCTTCCCAACAACAACCATGAGGTAACCATGGCTTCTTTGGCGTCAGGCATTGGACTTCCTGCCGAAAGCCTTCCCCCCGCCCAAGTTGTTTGGGATTCCTCTCGCTGTCCATTCGCAGCAAAAAAAAAACGAGCGGCCCAAAAAAAAGAAAAGTTTCTATTTATGTTCACTCTCAAAATGGTCTCCCCACATGTTGTTTCTTCTTCTTTATTAAAGTGCAAGAACTCCGGAAGTGAGCCAAAGGGTAGCATTCAAATTCTGGAGGCCCTGTGGATGGCTACGAAATCCATAAAACACACCGTTCAGACACCTTCCCCCAAAGTACCGCTGGCTTCAGAGTGGTGACGAAGGGATTTCGTCGCCATCCGCAGTACTCCGCACAAGAGACTGCCGGTCCACCAAGCTACGTAGCATCTACATCAGCCCAAAGGAAACTGGGCTACGGTCCAAGTGGGGTTCAAAAACCAAAAGGGAAAATGGGAACCCTGCTGAACACTGGTCCAACAAGTGAGGTGCAAAAACTGAGAGGGAAAATGGGAACCCTAAACCCTGATTTGTACCTGGACTCTTCTGAACCTTGGGCATGGGGTCACCACATGTTTTTATCGGGTGATGGAGACTCCAGGTATTCAAAGATAAGCTCTCCAAGCTCTCCAAGCTCTCCATCCTGAACAAATGTACAAACATATGTGTGATTCATTCCCTTTGATAAACACAAAAACAACTGTGGACTTTGGATCTTAAAAAAAAGGGTTTACTAGCTCCTCCAGATTTGAGAAGTTAGAATCAGGGCACCCTTTCTTTTTGCTGTAGTCTATTTTAGTAGGGGAACCCTCCCCCAAGAAAGGAAACAAGGGCACTACTGGGGGACCTAGTTTATGAAGCACAGGAGTGTCTCAAACGCTTTTAAAGGCGACCCCGCAGAATCCTCTTTCGCGCGGTCGGCTCTGCCTCCAAACCCGGGGGTGCCAACTCCAAATGGCTGCGGGGCAATACCAATGGTACCATTTTTGGGGGGTAGGTGAATTCACCACCCATTTTAGAACTGATTTTTAGTGGTTGGATTGGTTGATGTTCACTGGTGGACGGGCTTTGGATTTCGAACCATGTGCCAACAAAAGGGAGCGAGCCACCCCAAGGATTCCACGAGCGCTGTGCCGTCTGGCGACACTTGGCCACAAGGTTCCCCTTCCAGCGACCTGCGATCCATTCAGTCGCCGGGCTGGGGGGCGGGGGGGAGGGCCGAATTGGGGGAGAGACTAAACTCATATTGGTCTTCCTCTTGGTTTCCCTTCACAGGCATCCAAAAGGGGGCACCCACCAAAAAAACACACACACACCCATTTCGCACTTGGGATTGGTTTTGTGTATCCCATTTGCTGGCTTCATCGATTCGAATTGCAGGATTTCATTCACAAGACTCTTGGCATCTCAGAGGGTGGTTGCTTTGCCCATGCCAAAAAAGCCGCGGGTCTAAAAAACAATGAAAAAGCACAGGTGGTATCCCCCCCACAAACCCTCCGGAACCGTCCCTGCAAGCTGCTTGGGGAAAAACTTTCCCTTTTGGGCTTCGTATTAGGAGAATTGACCACTACTGTGAATGGACGAAATCCTGCACCACCTAAGAAGCCCTGGAACGATGATTCCCCTATAAATGCCAACCAACAATGGTTTCCCATGGATCCAACGCGATGCGAACGGATTTCGTCCATCCACAGTATGGCTATTTGGCACCCGGTCACAAGGGACCCCGAACTCAAGGACTGAGACTTGTTTCCGCGGTTGCTTTCTGCTCCTCTTCTAAAAGTTCAACTTTAGTGGTTTAATGGAAAACCCATTACTTGGCAATAAGTTAAAGTCCTAACATCCAAGCAAAATGCACCAAAGTTTCTGTTTGAAGGGTATGGGGCCAAACCCAGGCCTTGTTGCCCAGGCACAAAGAAAACCAGTCTTGGGGGTTGACGTTCTAGGTCCTCCAGTAGAGAGGTTAGAGTAAGGGTACCCTTTTTCTGTAGTCTATTTTAGTAGGGGGAACCTCCCCAAAAAAAGGTAAAAGGGCACTACTGGGGGACCTAGCATTTCAATTGAAGTGGCGCACAGCTCTGCGTGAGAACGGCAAGTTATTGAGTTGTGCAAGTGCATCCTGTTGCATGTGTGCGTGTGTGGCAAATTCAAACTAGATGCATGTGCTTAACTTCACACATCAGTGGAATCCTAGGACAAACATCTATGTCCCGAGTCACAATCAACTTTGGCAAAGGAGCCTGCCCCAAACCGTGTACAGAATTCAAAGGGCTTTGTAATTAATTCACTCCCGTGACTGTCTCCAAAAATTCATACTGTGGGTGAACAAGGTCCTGCACCACCTAAGAAGGCGGTAGTTATTGCGCAGGATCTTCCAGACGTGGCCCCACTCCTGGATGTTGTCAGGCCACTCGCCACACTTTTCCAGGTTGGCGATCCTCTTCATGTAGAGGTTGATCGGCGGTCGGCCCCGCTGCGAGCGAGGCTGCTTGACGCCTTGCAGGCAAATGCTCCTTGGTCCTTGTCATGACATGAGGCTGATGGGCGTCTGAGCAGTTTAAGCCGATGCGGACCGCATTCGTGGTGAAGGAATGTTGTCCACAGTATCATCGGTTTGATTCTGGCTAATTCTCACCGGCCGAGTGGATGGCCCACATAAAGTCCAAACTTGTTGTTTACCAAAAACGGTCCAACCCCAAAAAGCTTAAAGTTCATGACCTCAGGAAGTGAGAATTCCACAGCATTCCTTTGCCAATCTGTTCAACAGGCGGCTTTCCGCAGCCTGGGCGAAGCCAGGGCGGCCAGGGGACCCAGAGACCTGTCGTGCCCAACTTGGTGCAACTGGCCGGTTGATAAAATGGCCTCACCAACGCCACCCCAGGGTCAAGCGAAACAACCCCGGCTGACTGTTGATAACGCTCCACTGGCATTCAAGACAAGAGAAGACCTCCAGAGCTTCTAAACACATGGTAGCCTGGAAAAAAAAATATGCGCTATATATATATATATAAGTACATATATATATATATATATATATGTTTTCTTTGTGCTCTTCCAAAGCTAGCCCAGGTGTGCTATCCTTTAAGGCCCCTCAGGAACCTCCGCGAGAGCTCCGAGGAAGAAGCGTCGCTTCGCGCCTGTGGGGCCACAAATCTTCAGCCAGCGCTTGATCTGGCGGGCGTCGTCCTAACGGCTTGGGCGGGGGGGGGGGGGCGTGGGGGGGGCCTTTTCTGGACGCTTGGCGTCGGTTTTGCAACCTCCGCCTGGGTTGTGAAAAACAAAACGCTTGGGGTGGTCAACCACTTAGGCTTTTTGGCTATGGTTGCCTGATCAAGCAGGACCCTGTATTGAAGCGTTGTGTCTCGGTTGCCTCAAAGGGCCATTTTGAGGTCCCCTGTTTGTTTTTGGGAGGGCATTCCTCCCTCGATGTTCAACCTACCTAGTGACTAGGACATCCCAGATCCCCAGCCCGAAGTTTAAGCGGGTTGAATGGTTTGTTCCCCCGTCCAAACCAACTAAAACCAACTAAACACCTAAAGGGCGGACCGTGGATCCTCAATGACCAGGGCTCGTGGAACGACAGGCACTGGGCCTCAGCGGGCTCGCAGTGGGTGTCTTTGGCCTAAACAAATTGGAGTTTCCAATGGGTGCCCGTCTCGAAATGTAGCAAGTGCAAGGAACCCATCCAGTTTTATAGGTGACCTTTGGAAACATGGATTGGTCCTGTAAATGGACGAAACCCGTCTCAACCAGTGACTCAAGGCCAACTAGTTGTATCGAAACTAGTTCTAAGAAGGACAGCCATGATCCTGATTTATAGTCCCTTCCGAATGCAGCTTCACAGGAATCACGTCCGCCAGCGTAGTCTTCCAAGGAATAAAGTCTAAGTCAACGCACAAGTTGATCAGCTTGAGTTGACTCGAGCCATATCTTGGTTTGGGCCTAACGCCAATGCCTTGTCATTTTCCACGGTTGATTCCCAATCGGTTCTCCAGCAGGGCCGCACTTTCACTGGCATACTATAACTATAACCCGTGTGTTTTTTTTTGGGCTGTCCTCAAATCCCTTACTAACTTTGAGTGGGGCCAAAGCTTCGAAACCTAAGGAACCGGACGGCTGGGAACCGCCAAGTTTGATGTGAAGCCTATGTTTCCACTTGTAACCCCGGTAGGTTAAGCATCCACGACGGGGAAACCGTGAAACGCGGGGCTTGCCATGACAACCCCGCAATTCCCCCTTAATATTAAAAAAAAGAAAACTGAAAACCTTCAGGTCCTGGGAGCATAGGTAACCTTTTGGACAAATAGATCGGTTTCCGTGGTAAATGAAACAAAACCAATCTAAACCAGCGCCATGTTTTGCAAACCAACCTGAAAAGGACACCTAAGTCTGGGAGCCACGAAAAAAACACAGGTTCCCCATTAAGCCTCTGAAAAACCCCTGATAAGCCACCAGGCGGCGTTGATTCTTGGGATCCACATTCGACAGTACTGAAGACACCTGTCAGAAGTATGAGTGTCGTTTCTATTGAGGGCATCCGTTTTGGGGGCTTGTAAAGGCAACCATTTTTGGGGGTCCCTGAAAGACACACCCGCATGTTCACCCTTTGCCTAAACTGACGCAAGACCATCCTGGCTGCGGCGGCCCTGGTAGAAGCGGCAGTACCACTGGAACCAGCCGTACCTCGGCAAACTCAGTCATTACAGGACTTGGTTGACGTTGAAGGGGAGCAACAATTTAAGTCTTAGCAGTTAAGTGGGGATTTCCCACTAAACCACAATAAGCAAAAATGTAACATGATTCCCAACAACAACCATGAGGAGGGAACCAATTGTATTCCTCGGCACACCCAGTCATTACAGGAGGGAACCAGTTGTTGGATTTCAAAAAAAACTTATTAGGAAGGTCAATCCCGCACGGTTTGTAGCACGATTTATAGCCTATTTGACCAGCAGGCTGCCCGGATACGCTATTTAGGAAATCCAACAGAACCAGTTGTATTCTTTCAGGCCCTTACTTTGCCTCGCAAAGGGCTTGCTCTGCGAATTGCACGTCTAGGTGAGCCCCGGTGAGCCTGGTGTGATATATCGCCATGGGTCCAAATCCAAATCGCTTATCCCCCAATGAACATCAACCAATCCAACCACTGAAATAGGAAACCTAAAATGGCTGGTGCACCGAAAATCCCCAAAATGGGATCCCCTTGGTTTTGACCCACAGCCATATACAGATAGCATAGCTCAGACTCCCCACTGCAGCCAAACCAATCAAGCGCGCCCGCGCCATGTGTTCGATCGCCTCTCACTAAGTGGGACCGCTTGCCGCCCCGCCTCATATGGATGAGGGTCGCGCCATTTTCTAGGGCATCATTCTTGGATTGTTTGAAAGGGAAACCCGAAAGTCCAGGAAATCCAGATGTCCCCCACTGGCTTGGTCGTCAGAAGTTTGACATGTTCGTGGGTTGGTCATCCAAGTCTGTGTGGGACTTGCCAAGTGTTTTGGTCATTGATGGCTAATGATTGCTTTTTAGGAGTAGTGGCTTGCCTGAGCCCAAACTACAGGCTGGCATCAAACCACCACACAAAACCGTGCAAGGAATATAATGGCCCCCATCGAGCTCCTATCTCCAAGTGGGAACCGCAGATGAAGTAGAGGGGGGTGTCCCTTTTAGTGGGGGTTCATCACTGTTGGAGGGAAACACACTCCGAATAGGACGGGTTTCTGGAGCCGATTTCTCTGAATCAACTACCTCAATTTCGGAACATACCTTCTCACCGCTGAAACAAGCCCTGTGAAGAAAGAGCGAGACCGCCTTTTCCGGTGTGTCAACAAACCACTGCTTGACCGCTTTCTCTTGGGTGTCCAAATCCCCCGATTTTGGAAATGGCATGGGGAACAACTCGGCTTCCACACGGATCTTGGGCATCGATCCAGCCCGCGCGCTCCCAGTCCTCGCGACAAACATGCGGCGCTTGCCATGCTGGGCCCAGCATGCACCGTGCCTGACAATGGGGGACTCGGGGGAACTTTCAAAATGCCTGGTTTCCTGTTGGTTCCCTTTTCAACCGATCTAGAAAGGGGTGGCTGATTCGTGAACCCGCTGAGTGGGTCTACCACAGGGCTCGCTCGAGGTCCTCGTTTCCAGCCCTCGAGGAAGCCTTGTTTCTAGTCAGAAAGAACCAAAAGTAGCGGTTTGTTTGGAATCGGCAGTTGCTCATGTGAGTAAGTCCCAAAAATAGAAACAACGAGTGTGTGCCATTTTTTGAGGCTGCCTTGTACTTAAAAACAAACACCGGGCCGCAAAGCCCAAGGCCAAACGTGCAACTCCCCATAAGAATGGTAGACAATCCTAGGAACTTTTTGGATGACAACTGACTTTTTTTTGGATGATCCTGGTGTAATCTTGTGACCCTAGTACAACTACCGTTGATCTTTTTGAGCCTTGGGTGACGGTCCGCGGTGGGCACTGGTGCTTCGAATTCCCGGGGAGGATGGTTGTCCGCTTTTCGCCACGCCAATGACACTGGCAGCAAAGCTCTGAACCGACGGGTAGGACAAATGGACTTCTTTTCCCCCTCCCCCAAAGTGGCGTCTGTGTAAACTAGTTGCGAGCTCCAGTGTTCGTGGGAGCAGGGCAGCTTTCTTGTTGCTGTTGAAACCGTGGGCAGAACATCCGTTGGAGATGGATTTGGCTCACAAAAACGTACCCAAAATTGCACCGTTCAATTTTGAGCCACTCCCACATCCTTGCATTTTGTGGCCTCCGTCGCGGTGGGCGTCTTGTTTGTTGCCTTTGACGGTGGAGTTTAAATTCAAGACTCCTGCAAAGCAAGGACTCAGAAATTGAAATAATGACAACCTTGTGGAGCCATGTCTAAAAATGGGCCCACATGGGAACCAAAAGGTAAAAAAGGTCGATTCGCTTCGGGCAAGCGAGACGAGCCAAGTGGGGGTTGGACGTGGCCCTGGAAAATTTGCTCAGCCTGGCAACTCCCGAAGGCTCCTCGAGGGTGTTCCCACACTTGGCCTTGTACTTATTCACCGCGGCCTCATGGATCACTCGGATGACTCGAATCAGACACCGCCACGGTTGCGGTTGCGTGCGCAAAAAAGACCGACTCTGCGCGCGCTCCTGGACTCCTACTTGTTGGGCAGACGCCCTTTGAAGGGTCGTGGAGCTCCCACTTTTTGGGCGTCGACACCATTAGAAACGGGTCGTGGAGCTTGGGTCGACGCCCTTTGGGTCGTGGAGAGAGGGGCAGAGAAACGGACGCAACTCAGAACCCCGGGACCCCGTCACGGAAGGAAGCCTCTGCCTGAAAGCTGCGCCGAGTTCTGGGAGACCAAATCCATGGCTAACAATTGCCCTTGGATTTGGACATTCGTGGAGGAATCGCCCCAAAAAGTGCACTCCACCTTCCTTCTCCGCTGCCTTCCGTTAATTTGCCAGGGGGCAGACTTTCCTTCAGCTGGTGATGCTTCTAGGCTCAGGGTCGCCGACCCAAAAAAGAGAATTGGAAAACAGGCACACAACCACCAGTTTCTTTGGGAATCCCCCGTAACAGATTGCAACTCAAATATCACAGAATCGGAAAACGCGGCAAAAACCATTAAGTCGGAGTTCCTGGATAACACAAACCTTTCAATTTCAGACACCTGCCCAAATGTCTCCCCACTTTGGCAGTGAGAAAACGAATTGGAGGTCTGTGAGCCCAAACGAAGAACTGAAGCGAGGATCCGCGGCTTCCGGCCGAGGCGCATCGTAGTCCGCCCAGGGCCGCGCAACCTGCCCAGAGCGCCGCGGGTGCAGCTCAGCGATACGTGAAAATGGATGGGCCATGGCCCCTTGTTGTGGGATGACCCCCATTTTTGTCAGGGTCATGGAAACTCCAGGTCTAGGTGGAATGGGTTTGGGGTACCATGAAGCTAAATTTGGTCATGGGAAATTCGTGTTTATTCCGATTGAGCCTAATATTAGGAGTGGCCGGAAGCTGCAAAAGAGGAAGCGCCGACAGCGGCTGGGTCCAATTCTCCCAGCCGGGAACGGCGCGCTTCAATCCCTGTCTCAAAAAAGCACCTCAAACGGCGCCTACATGGACAGTGCATGGACACTGCGCACTCCATTCTATCAATGGCATCCTCGTGCTCCAAGTCAGCACGGGCGCGAAACTCACAACTCCATATGCCGCTTGAAGAAAAATAGGTTGGTACAGAATACGGGATCCCAGAGCCTTGGTTACCCCCAAACTTCTCTCCAAGCGTTGGACCGGGGATGTGTCAAAAATAGGGGGACCCAAGAAATGATGGTTGTTCCTTTTGCGCTGCCCTTTGCACCAAAATGAAGAGGTAGAAACCATGTCGGCTCTAGGTTGAAGTGCTACTTAGTTTGCGAGTGCTCTCCCCCCCCGGCCCCCTGCCCCACCCGAAATAAACTGGGTCCCACTAAATCAATCTGGGCCAGGTGTGCACAACCCACTTAAAAGCTCCAGCAAATCAAATAAAAAGGAAACTCACATCAAACTTTCTACTAAATCAAATGGAAGCTCGAGTCAACATCTCAAAAGGATATGCTCTAGCAGTGCTAAATCAAGTCCAAACGAGCAACAAGCATCAGCCCCTGCAAAGACATAACCTTGTGCTAACTAGGCCTTACTGACCGCAAATCGGCAAACTTTACCGCAACACGTTCAACTTTCTGTGGGAATGCAATAATTGCAGACTTCCTGGAGTCTCTTTCTGACCCTTACAAAATGGGGTCGACCTGGGTTTCCGGCCGCATTTAAGGGTCAGAAGGAGACTCCAGGTAGCTGAAACAGTTCTCTGGTCAAAGAGCAGCAGGTCCGTCTCGCAATGGGGCAGGTTGTGTAGGGACCCCTGTTTCAGCTTCCCTTGAAAACGGCTCAGGAATTCGAGCCGTAGTACATCGCTTGTTTTTTCGATACCAAGAAGCAAGAGAAGTGGAACACCAACTAAACCCCGACTCTCGATGTAACACAGAAGCAATTGAAACGCAGCGAATGTCCATTCAAAACGTAAAAGCAAAAACGAAAACGCACGCTCACAGTGCCGAGCTCTCTTTAAAATGTGGTCATGACCCCTTACGTTGGGTGGAAAACCCTTTGTTTAAGGGCCAGAAGAAGACTCCGGATACCCAACTGTGCCAACATGGCAAGCAGTTCCGCTCGCAATGCCTGGCTGGGGATGTCCAGGCCCTTCAACCAGCTCTTTGGCAGGTCCTAAAAACTAGACGGAGCCCCGCACAGCGGCTTTGCCACAAATGCCGCTTAATATTAATGTCATAAAAAACCACAGTCGTTTTAGTTTGCATTTTATTTGTCATTGACTAATAAGTCAACAAACATTCCCTTGAAGTTCAATCCTCTCCACAGATCCCTTTTTCCTGATACTAAATGGTGCTCTTGTCTTCAATTACGCCAGCCCAGCAACATACCTTGGAATCAAACAAAAACAATCGCCCAGGTTAAGACTAAGATCCACTTTTCGGAATCAAGCACCACGGCTAAGCGGGCGGCTCAGCAATTCAATTCTGAAACACCTTCATGTGGCCATGGGTCAAAAGCCCGTACCCCCAGTGAACATCCCAATTCCCACTAAAATAGGTTCTAAAATGGGTGGCGCACCTACCCCAAAATGGTATCCAACACGGTGTTGACCCACCGCCATGTAGGATGACGCCCTACAGAAAGTGGCGGAACCCGACTTCCCATGAGGAAAAAACAGGGTGATTTCTGCCTCTCAAGCTGAAGGTTCTGGTCCCGGAAGGGGCCCGAAGGGGCCTGTACCAGTTGGGTTTTGAAGGGAAACAAATCCCATTTTGATTTGGAGACAAACCCGAATTGACTCACACCATCCCCAAGTGGTTTCCCTTGGGTAAAAGGATTCGTTTCGTTGAGGCTCATTAGTCGGAAACGTCTCCGTCCTTCTATGAAAACAAGCCTGTGCAGGCAAACAGTGTCCTGTACAGCACTCAATGAAGAGCAGGCTCATGTGACTTCATTTGCACAGAAACCCCCCCCCCCCCCCGCCCCCAAGCAAGATCTCTTTTGGCAGAATCCAGGTTTTCTGTTTGGGCTTGCTCCCTCAGCGGATTGGCCAAGTCCTGCTGATAAAATTATCAACTCCATGTGGGGGTTGATCAATGGGTAACTTTTCCCATGTGGTTGACATATCATCTTAGTGGTTTCCCCCAATGCCCCAAAAGTGGCAGATTTCCGTGTGGTTTTAAGAAAGAGTAGATACTATCACCAATCGCAACCGGGACCCTC